TACATATATGCATTATAATATATATACATACTTATATATATATACATATACATACTTATATATACGTATATATATTTATATATACATACTTATATATATATACATATATACACATACTTACATATATTCTTATATAGGCCTATATATATACTTATATATACACTTATATTCTTATATACTTATATAATGTACACTTATATATAAGTATATATACACACACATAAACATATATATATATAAACATATATATATATGTATGTATATATATATATATAAATATATATATATGTATAAATATATATATATGTATATATATGAATATATATGTGTATATATATATACATATATATATATACATATATATATATATACACGTATATATACTTCTAAAAGTCGTGTATCATGCATAGGAACGTTGACGCCTGCAAGGCTCTGGTCTTTACTATTCCTTTAATATCTATTTTCTTTTTAATATTGTTTCATCCTTCTCCTTATTTCATTTTTGATACTTAACTTTCTTTTAGTTTTTTCATTGTCATTTTCTTTCCACCATTTTACTTCTTTCCGTCCTTTCAGAATTTCTTATTTACTGTATTATTTTTCTTAGATTTTTTTTTTCAATTTTTAAAATCTCTTCTTTTTTTCTTTCATGTCTTCTTTCTTGCATAATAATCTATGGGGACAGTGTTGGTGTGGGTGGGTGGGGGTTTGTTAGGAAATATAAAGAATAAACTATTGTGCCGCGAAAAGGATCGGGAAATATGTGCTACTAAAAATATTCCTTGTGCTACCAATTTTTTTAGGGGTGCCAGAAAATTTTGGCATTGCTACCAAGAAAAAAAAAGTTGATTTCCAGCCCTGTTGAAATATTTAAAGTGAATAATACTACATCTTCACCTTCACTTTCTGTATTACTGTCACTTTTAGTGTTGGTAGAGACATCTGATTCATTATTTCTTCAGCCATTATGATTCACTCTACAATTTATTAGAAAGATCATAGCAATGAAACACATTCAATATGTAGTTAAAGAGTATCAACAAGCTTTATTCACCTCAAATATTTCAATAGTGGAATAAAAGAATGAGTGCTACTATACTGTATGTAAAATAATCAGTCAATCTGTGTTTCCATACTTTTAGATTTCACACTGTGCAGGTTCTAGGCTGGGCCTAGGTATCCTAAAGTTGTAACGATTTTAATTTCATAAAAATGTAGATTGAAAAGTATTCACTTTAAACATGAATTACTGGTTAATATGTTTATCATTGTAATAGTCCTACATTTATTGAGCATAAACCTATTGAATATATTGGCTTTTGTTTGCCAGCTTCTCTTAGGTGGAGATTTTCTGCTGCAGTGCTGGGCTTGCTACAGGTTTCTAGGCATAGGCAGGCCTAGGCCTACAAAAGTCGAACCAAATTGATAGGCTACAATAAGGTATATCTGTTTGGTAGTCATATTATCATAATGATAATAATAATAAGCTTTTTTTTTACTACTGAACATGTTTAAGATACGAAAATTTAACAAATTGACCACCTCAGCAAAAATATTTGGTGAAACTTTCAACAAATCAGAAAGCTGAATTCTGTATGGAGACACTTAAGCCTCAATTGCACTGGATTAAATTTTGGGAATATGTAACCGTCATCATGGTAAACATTTCTAGGGTAAATGTTACCGTCAATCACACTTGGACTTTTCAACTCGGTTAGTTTTCCGGAGTAGTGTAAAATTAACTATTGAGGGCGGTACATTTTGACCCGTAACATGACCCGTACTGACATGACCTACAGCCTTCTGATCCCTTGATCTGTTTTGCACGCTGACTTGCACTTACTTTCTAGCTAGTTCTTACCGAAATCGTTGGAAAAAGAAAATGGCTGAAAAAAGCAAACAAACAAAGAAAAAAGTATCACGTTAGAAAATAATGGTTTGTGATCAACTAGTCGAATAGTACGATATTCGTACGATCAATACAGCACAGTAGCATAAAATTTGCGCGAAAATCGAAATGTACACATCAATAAACCAAAACAATGAGAAGAAGCAGGAACTAATTATACGCATGCGCCAGTGCTTCACAGAGCGATAGAGGTCACCCAATCAACAATGAGGCTCGGGATTCGGTTAATTTAACCGACCTGTGGCTGTTCGCATTGGATTTTCCAGTCCGGTCAAAGTAGCTCGGTAGGAATTCTTGAGTAAATTTCACTCCCGAAAACTAAGCGGCGGCGACAGTCAAGTTAACCGAGCGGGACTATCCGCACTGGATTTTTTCAGTCAAACTTACCGACAAGACGGTTACTTTTACTGAAATAAATCCGGTGCGATTGAGGCTTTAGTGACCATAGAAAGTTGTAGTCCTTCACAAATAGCCAATTTCTAGAATTCATAACTTTTTTCTTTTATGTGCACTACCTTGATATTTTCAAATTATTTTCTTATTATACAAAGTAAGTTGCTGCTGCTGCTGCTAAAGATGAAGAAATCTGCTTGAGTGAAAAAACAAATCTGTTTCATATTTTTTTATTTGCTAAAAAATTATTACTGTATAAGATATTATTGGTCTAATTAATAAAATTAAATGCTAAAAATGTCAATATGAGCTTTAATAATACAATGTGAAAATGTATGTTATTGAATCGATCTTTCTAACTGCTTGTATGTTATTGAATCGATCTTTCTAACTGCGTTCACCCTTTGTCACTGGCCCTAGCATAACTATGAGTAGTCTACCCTGACTAGCCTAGCAATGATGTAGAAACAAAAAGCAACAGAAATTATTTCAAACTTTCTGCTAATATCACTCGAAAGGTCACTCTTTCTCAATCGGAAATTACACCGGAGGTTTTTTATGGTGCTTACGCTTACCTCCATTTCTTCAGCAATTTGTTTATTCATATAACCCATCACTACCAAAGCTTCTAATTTGTCTCTAGTAGCCATGGCTGACAACTGTGCATAGGCCTTTATAGCGATAATAATGATGACTAGACAAGCCTAAGCTACTGTATCTACGATAAGTATGTCTATAATCATATAACGTTCCTATTTGTGTTTTAGTCCCAATTTTTTTTTGTGTTGTGTTGTGAAATATTAAGAAATGTGTTCTTGCTTTTTTTTAATTCATTTATTTTGTTGTTTAGTTTCATTTTGATGCTAAAATTGGCGTTCCATACAATGTCGCCAAAAGTCAAGTGGTGCAGTGCAAAAGTCAAGTGCAATGCAAACGTCAAGTGGCACAGTGCAAAAGTCAAGTAGGGCAGTGCAGAAGTCAAGTAGCGGCACACACATTTGGATTTGCACTGCGCCACTTTAGTTTTGCACTGCGCCACTCAACTTTCGCATTGTGCCACTTTAGTTTTGCACCGCGCCACTTGTGGTTTGTCCTTTTGGCGTTCCATATATTGTTGGCTAACTTGACTCAACCGTCACAAGTACAGTATAACCAGACAATGACTGACTTTCATAATCGGAACTGGAAATACTGGATGACCTTATTCATGAGATATTTAAGCATATACCCTCATGCAATCATGTTTGACAAATATTTTTTGGATTGGTTTTATCTCCTACATCTTTATTATTCATCATATACGTAAGATATTACCGATTGTTCAACTTCACATCATACAGGACCTACATGCAAAATATCAGCTTTTTACAAGTCATTTTACTACTAGTTTATGTGTTTACAAAGCCAACGTGACCTCTGTGACCTCACTTATTTTGGGAAAACGACGACAAGGCTTATATCGTTAACAATATAAACAAAAATGTGCACCTTTTAATTTTGGGGGGTGGATGTGGTGTGCGTTTTCCCCTATGGGCCTGCACAAGATCGCTAAGTATAATTTATAATGCAAATCCATCTCTTTAGGTTCCTATGCACTTGGTGTTGAAGATGGTAGCACTCAACTCACAGCATCTTCTATACGTAGCCCTACATATCCTGCTGACGAAGGACGACTGAATGCAGTTGTTGGTGATGAGTTAAGTGGATCATGGAAACCGAAGGAGAACAACCAGGGACAATGGCTTCAAGCCAACCTCAGTGATGTGAAATCGGTTATTGGTGTAGTAACACAAGGAAGTCCGTATGGAAAGGAATGGGTGACGTCGTATAAAGTTTCTTGGAGTGATAATGGTGCCAACTTCACTTTTGTAGAAAATGTAAATGGTACTGAGGTAAGCTGCTTTTAACATAATATAATGGGTTGTGACAAGTGCGAGCCAATGCGCGAGCTATGCGAGCCACACATTTTAAATCTTTTTTTTTTCAGGTTATCCAGTTTTGCAAACATGTAGGCCTAGCCTATATTCTTTGGCCTAGTAGATGCAAATGAATAACACACCGGGGAGCTTTGCCTGTGTAGTGCAGTCATGCACAGTACATACACTTTTGTACTTTGGTTACTTTTTCGAATCGTCGATACGAAAGTATGCAAGCGCTGATAGATGTTGTTAAAATAGATATACAGATACATACATACCTGTCTCTTATACACATCTAGATGTGTATAAGAGACAGGTATAGCACTCGGTCTCCGTTCAAACAGCTTGTTAACTGTCCTCATCAGGTGGTATCCTATGTGCAACTGATATAAAAAAAGAGATTAAAAGAGAGGTATTGCTTATCACATTGGATGGCCTATTGTCTATATATATATTTTATATTATTTTATATATACTGTATTATTATTTTATATATACTGTAATTATTCATTGTTTTAATTCGCTCTTGTTTAATTACCATTGAGCACTCTGCTGATGATATTTGCAACTCGTTCAATCGTTTTACTTTTATACTGTAATTATTTATATATTTATTTATTTATTTATATATTTGTTTGTATATTTATTTGTATATTTATTTGTATATTTATTTATATATATATATTTATATATTTATTTGTATATGTGTTTATATATATTTATATATTTATATATATCTATATGTTTATATATTTTGTCATGAAAACCAGCAATTTTGGTGTCCCTAAAGGCATTCTTGGCGTTCCATACTTGTTATTGTAAACTTACTTGGTGCAGATGGGTCTCGGTACGGTGTTGTGTGATGCTAGTGAGGGTTTTGTTTCAGTGTACTGCAGGTAGGTGTAGTATCTACGGAAGTTGAGTTGACCTTTTGACCTGTGATTGAATATCATTAAAGTTAGTTGTTAGAGTACCTTACCACCGTGTGTGAGTCGTTGATTGTGCTTCTCTGTTTAATCCGTTATTTTGTGGTTCAATCCATATACAATACACTACAAATTGGCGATGAGGATATTTTATTAATTGTAGGAACGATGGCGACGCAGATTAATACAGATCTGGGTGGAATCCCAACTTTTGATTGTTTAAATGAGCCGACTACGTTGAACACAAGATGGCGAAAGTGGCGCCGTACATTTGAATTGTTCATAGAAGGGAAGGGAGTTACATGTGAAAAACAGAAAAAGGCACTTTTGTTACATTGCGGCGGGATGCAGATGCAGGACGTTTTTACACACTAAATGTTTCAGCACCAGGTGAGAACGAGAATGTATATGATTTAGCTATCAAAGCATTAGAAGATTATTTTAGTCCCCAAGCTAATGTGTCTTACGAACGTCATTTATTCTGTAATATGGCTCAAATTAGCACTGAAACCATTGGCCAATTTATTACGAGATTGCGACAAAAAGTTGAGTACTGTGAATTCACGAATAATGATGAACAGATTAGGGACCAAGTAATCGAGAAATGTATTTCACATATTTGAGAAGAAAATTATTAGAAAAAGGAAAGAACTTAACCTTAGCACAGTTGCAAACTACAGCGCGAGCAATGGAAAATAGCAAGAGTCAAGCGAATATTGAAGGGATAGGGCGCGCTGAGGTTAATCGAGTACAAACGAAGACGTTTGGTAATCAGCCAAGACGAAGCAATAAGGATGCGCATTCCAAGCGAAAATCAGACACAGAGCGAAATTGTTATCGATGTGGTAAACATTGGCATTTGCAAGCTGACTGCCCATCAAAAGATAAAGAGTGTTATAAGTGTCACAATATAGGGCATCTAGCGAGATGTTGTAAAACAAAAAGTTCTACACCAAAACGAACCACAGGAAGAGGTTTTGTAGGAAATAAACATAAATCGAAAATTCACATGATGATTGAAGAAGATAATGTAAGTACACCCAGCACTGATTATGCATTCTCACTTACAGAAGATGAATATTACACCAAAGTGAATGTGAATATGGGTGGTATTTGTATTCCAATGATAATAGACTCGAGAGCGAGTTGTAATGTTGTAGATAAACAGCTATGGGAAGAATTAAATGCTAAGAAGATAGTGTGTGCTTCAACTAAAGTTAATAAGAATTTGTATCCATACGGAAGTATAGACCCAATTGAAGTAATAGGCACTTTCACTACAAATATGTCAGTTGAGAACAGTAACATTGTTGAGGCCGAAGTGATTGTCATTAAAGGCAAGGGTCCATCATTGTTAGGAAGAAAAACCGCTACACAACTAGGAGTTTTGAAGATAGGCCTTAATGCAAGTATCAATGTAATACAGGAGAAGGCTAATATTAATCAAGAAGTGTTTCATAAGTACAAATCATGTTTCGAAGGAATAGGAAAATTGAAAGATTTTCAGTTAGAGATTCCCATTGATGAAACAGTGTCTCCAGTAGCCCAGTCACTGAGAAGAATTCCATTCAATTTACGAGAAAAATTAGAAAATAAACTTAATGAATTAGAAAAATTGGATGAGATTGAAAAGGCTGATGGTCCTACACCATGGGTGTCACCTGTAGTTGTGGTACCTAAAAGAGACAATGACATTCGTCTATGTGTCGATATGAGGAGAGCGAACGAAGTGTAATTTGAGAAAGGCATCCAATCCCAACAGTCGAGGAAATATTGTATGACCTGAACCAAAGCATTGTCTTCAGCAAGTTAGATATTAAATGGGCCTTTCATCAAATAGAACTGAATAAAAAAATCACGCCATATCACAACCTTTGTGACACATAAAGGATTATATCGTTACAAAAGGCTTACGTTTGGCATTTCCTGCGCTCCAGAAATGTATCGGCGTGTATTACAGCAGGTTTTGCAAGGATGCCAAGGTGTGTGTAACATCTTTGATGACATCATAGTACATGAGAAATCTATTGAGGAACATGACAGACGACTAGAAAACTTGTTGAAACGTATTGAGGAAACAGGACTTACCCTGAACAAAAGTAAATGCATGTTTCGCATGACAGAATTGGTTTTCATGGGACACTTACTCTCAGCTAGAGGAATTAGTCCAGAAATTGAAAAAGTTTGTGCCGTAAGAGGCAAGAAAACCAGAGACAGCTACAGAGGTCAGAAGTTTCCTGGGATTAGTAAATTACAGCGGTAGATTTATTCCCAACTTAGCAACCATCTCAGAACCATTGCGTCAATTGACCAAAAAAGAGCGTTCCGTTTGTGTGGAGTGACGAACACGACTATGCTTTCAGCGAACTGAAAACTAGACTAGTGAATACGCAGACACTTGGATACTTTAATAATAAAGCTGAAACCAAATTGATCACAGATGCAAGTCCAGTAGGACTTGGAGCAGTTCTCGTTCAGGAAAACAAGGGAGAAAATAGAGTAATATGTTATATTAGCAGAAGTTTAACAGATGTTTAGAGACGCTTTAGGCTTTTGGGCATGTGAGTGCCTTCACATGTATCTCTATGGAACTGATTTTACATCGTTGACAGAATAAGCCCCTGGAGTGTATATATTCAACCAAGTCTACGGGTAGAGCAAGTGCAAGGATTCATCGATGGGTTTTAAGACTTCAGTCATATAAGTTCAATGTAAAGTATATCGCTTGGAAGGACAACATAGCGGACAGTCTATCACGCCTTCTTTGTATAAAGCTAGATAACTAATACCGACGAAAGCGAGAAGTACATTAGATTTGTATCTTTGAACGCAACTCCAAACGCTCTTACAACAAAAGAAATTGAGAGAGCTTCAGCGGTTGATGAGGAGATTTCTGAGATTAGTGAGTGTATTTTGAATAATCAATGGCATAAACTGTCAAATAAGAAATTGTTAGCTATCAAGGATGAACTTACAAGTATTGGAATGTTAGTGTTACGAGGAACATGAATCCTAATTCCGCAAAGCCTTCGAGGAAAAATTTTAGAGTTAGCACATAAAGGACATCCTGGCATAGTATCTACGAAAAGAAGCTTGCGAACAAAAGTGTGGTGGCCTAGTGTAGATAAAGATGCAGAAAAATTCTGTAAAACATGTCACTCGCCATGCCAGATTGTAGGTAATCCAGAAAAGCCTGAGCCAATAAAACCAACAGATATTCCAACTGCACCTTGGCAACATATTTCTGCAGACCTGATGTTGTTGCCAACAGGAGATTACTTGTTTGTAGTTGTGGACTATTACAGTCGTTACTTTGAAGTGGATACACTTAGGTTGACAACATCAGATAAAATTGTGAAAAGTTTAAGTAAAATATTTCTAACACATGGACTACCAATAAGCATAAAGACAGATAATGGACCACAATTTATCAGTGCAGTATTCAAAGAGTATTTAGAGAGTCAGGGCATAAGCCATAGAAGAGTGACACCTCTCTGGCCCTAAGCAAACGGTAAAGTGGAAAGACAAAATTGCACACTTCTCAAACGAGTAAGAATTGAGCAAGCTGAGAAACGCAACTGGCGAGTGGAAATTGATAAATTCTTGATAATGTATCGCACAAAACCTCACAGCGTAACAGGTGTAAGCCCCGCGGAACTGATGTTTAAGCGGAAACTTTGAACCAAAATTCCCGGAATCGAAGATCACATTGGAGAAGAGGATTTGGAAGTGAGCGATCTAGATCGCGAAGTTAAAGGTAAAATGAAGATGTACGCAGACGCGAAAGTAATATTGTACCAGGAGACATGGTATTGTTGAAGCGAGACCGAAAAGATAAATTGACCCCCACATTTCACAGCGAACCATTTAGAGTTGTGGAAAGACCAGGAAACGTGGTTACTGTAGAGCAAGTACAGAATGGTAAGCTAGTACAGTATCGCCGTAATATTACACATGTGAAATCATACCAAGAGAGGGACATAAAACACAATGATCATGTAGAGAATATAGAAATTCCCACAGCACTAGATTATTCTGACAGCGAAG